AATCATACTTCATTCTTGGGAGAGTTCCAATTTTAATCACTTTCCCTGTGTTTCAGTATGGAATCCAAATACTTTCAAACTTTATTGGCATTTATTTATTATTAATAGGGCAAGTCTCATACTTGAAAGGGGTTCATTTTGATATATTGAGGCAGGGTAACCTTAATATGTGTCAAGTGCAAACTCTTATTGTGTTTATATATAAGTTTGATGTCATGCACTGGAAGCCAGAGTGAGCCTTATACTTGGAATTTCGTCCAGTTTCATCCATCGGTTAATGCATATGAGCAGCATCTCGGTAAAAAAAAGTATTTCTAATGGAATATACTAGCAATTCGTATATTAAATGCATGTGTATTAATTATTTTACTACCATTCATATGGGTACTAATATGTATCTCAAAGTTGATTTATGATTCTCTTGTCAACTGAATGGGGTTTGTTGACTTAAGTCTGAAACTCTGACATGTGTAATGAGTATCAGATGCCTTTTTCTATATATATTATGTTATATATATAGTTTCAGTTTACTCCATGGGCAGGTTTCACAAGGTGGTATAAGCTGAAAAGTAACTTTAAGTTAAAATATTTGGACAGTTGATAAGTAGCCAGTCACTTACGCATATTGGGCTCATTTCAAGAAACAAAAGTTGTTTGAAACACATGGCTAGTGACAATGAGCTATTACTGATTATGGGCCAAAATGAACTCAAATGTTTGATGTAGGCCGAATTTTCTTCCAGAAGCTGGGTCCATAAATTTTGCAAAGCAATCTGGCAGAACAAAGGCAATAGCACATATTTCAGATGGTTTTTTTCCCCTCAGGAATTCAGAATGGAAGGACATTAAAAGGAAATTGACAGTTCAGCCACATTTTAGTTGCAAACCAATTCCAATGCATTTGATGTTTTATTCAAATGGAAAATGTATTGATACCGTGAGAATATGAATTGAAGAGCCCTAAATATATATCTGGTCTTCATCAAAATGTGCATGGTATAGATTTTTTCTTGGAAATCAGATATTCATCAAGATTATTGAAAAATGTTTGTAAGCAGTTTAAAGTAATAAAATGATTTACAAGGACTCTTGATACGTATTTCTGTTATCATTGTTTAATTGGATACTGAATAAATCTAATGTTTTATACGTGAAATAAAACTTTGATGCTTGATATGTGTGTGCAGACACCTATTTTAAGGTACAAATTACACCAGTGCGGTCATGGAGGTGCATCTTAATGATCATTTTCCTCAAATGTTATTTTAATTATCGCATTTCACTATTTACAATAATGTTTTAATAAATGTCAAATATTAATGAAACTTAACGCGACTCAATTAAAATTTGTGTGAGTAGATACCCTGGGGTGAGAAGCTATCGTTAAAAGATTGACTCTCCAAAAAGAAATACCACTGAATGTGAGGTTTTGGTTTTCCATTAATATACAATTTGAATATTGTGTTATATTTGAGGGGAAAACGCCCACTTCGTCTTGATATATTTGGATTCCCTTAACGCTAATTATGTGTGGGGAAACTGATACTATTTAACATTTTTCATAATTTGATTACAATGAAGATCTCAAAGAGACCGACAACTTAAAGAAGAAACAATTACGCATGAGACGAAATACGTCATTTGTTTGTTTACGTCTACCTTGTTTATTTTGGGGGTTTTAGGTACTCAGAAAGGTATCTCACTCCCCAAACACATTACTACAATGGTATGTATGTCGCAACTGTAGCAATGCGTGGCACTATCTAGGGCACCTCTGTAACAATTAAAGGCACCCTTCACCGGTGACACACTATTAGGGTTTAAGTACTGGTTTTTGAGTCAATCTTGTCATAGATGTTGAGACAGGTGACTATCACTCGTGACGGTAGAAATTAAAATTTAGACATCGAAAAGAGGTTTCTAGATCGCAATTTTCTCAGCGGTTTGGGATGTGATACGTCTTGGTGATAAAAAAGGGGATAGAAATTTCCAAAGTTTATTTCTATATATATTTTCAGCGAGAGCCCCCGCTGAGTTGGATCGATCTACATAGACCGATAGTTTCAATGGGAATGAGCCCATAGATATTAATCCTCGTGAGCACCCAATCTGACCAGCATCTCCCACTTGTTGCCGATATGGTGCGCCATTTGAAACAGCTTGCGCCTTTCCGCGTGCCGCAACGTTGCCTACATCTGATGTAAGGGGGCGTTTAATATGAGTTAGGCCGCAACAGCTATGGTCCACCGACTCAACGGGGACTCTTGCTGAATGCAATCATTCTTGATCACCTATCCATCATTGGCCTGACGTTATGAAATGCTTTGTGAACGCACTTTGCATCAACTCTCGACGTAGGCCAAAAGACCGAACTAATCAAATTGATAAAAGCTTACGGTCCTATATACTGTATACGGCAGCGAAAGACTGTGCTTCATCGAAATCAAGACCAAATAAAGATTAAAGGGTTTTTTTTACTGTTATCTTTATTTGTTTTAATCAACGAGCTCCAATTATCAACGTGAACAATAGGTAAATGAATGCTTTCCAAGAAGGACTTGAATCAAGAGTGAAAAAACATGGGATTTCCGTGATATTAGAAATGGCCACGGGTCAAAAGATTACATTGACTGTTAAAGGGCTAGTAGACACTTCAGCTGGGCAATTCCCTTGTCTTTGAACTATATCGAAAATTACATCACACACCATATCACCGGGTCTACTGCAGTTAATAATTAATTCTAAGGTCAAACTACGTTTGTACTCAAAACGGAGTGCTTCGGTTAGGCCTATATCATAGCAATGTGCGGATCGATTTAATAAAACATATAAATGAATATTATATATTTTTCATATATTAATCAATATTATGGTTGTAAAGGCATACTTTCCCCCATCTATCTTTTGAATTTATTTGCTTCAGAAATATTTCTCCTACTACAATTATCCTAAGATTTCATTTACCTGATACTAATTTATCTTTTTGCACTTTACTTCAGTTCGGTTTTACTTGTAGGCATATCATTATGTGGGTGCATCAGGGGCAAATGGGTTCGTTCTCTGACCCGTTAAATTTAATAACACTTTAATGTAGGTAATTCAAATGCTACTGGTCGGCGAATTTTTTTCATTGTACACGACAATGATGTCAGCCTCTTAGAGACCATTCCCACAGATATTTGGATCGATCTATCTCCCTGGGGAGTCTCACTAAATTGCGATCAACTTAACCGGCTTAAATGACTGTCACGTCTAGTAAAGCTGTTCGGGGGTAATTATCTTTACCCCTAGCTGAATAAGTGGGCGTGACAGGCATTTAAGCCTCTTGAGCTGATAGCAATTTAGCGTGAACCCCCCCAGGGAGTTAGGTAGATTTTTAAGGTTCATCTTGTCTGGCTGGGCCGTAGCTAGATCGCGGGGAAGGAATCAAGTAATTGGTGATTGCAAGGAGTGCGCAAGAAGAAAGTGCGTAGAAAGTACGTGAGGAGCACAGCCCCCGCACGTCAGAAGTACCACGTGTCCCGTGCGCCCCATGCATGCAAAGTACAAGCATCGTGCACTACGTACGTTATCCGTACTAGGAGTACGGGCAACGCAAGGGCAACATAAGTGGACATGGGGCAGTCTTGCTGCTTTCCTACGGTTGTTGCTCGTCCTTTGCACGCGACTCTTGCGTGTTGAGATTTTTTGGGGGCGGGTATAATGCAGTGCATGTTTGAGGAGATCATTATATTCGCAGCAGTGTTCAAAGATGTTGAGCCCAATCATACCTGACTTGTCCCCTTTCCTCCTCCTCTCCCCTTCTTGCTCTTTGTTGTCTTTTTAGGCATTTTTAAAACTTGACATCTAGGGCAGAAATAATGATCCTCCTTTTAAACCCTCAGTCCGTGCGAATGGAGTGAGCACTACTCACTCAAATGCACGAAGTCCGTGAGGTCCACACAGTGGGCACGTGGAAGTGCGGAGTGAGCACGGAGTGAGCAAACAATAAGAACGTGTATCGAGCGCCTTAACCACGTGCACCGCTCGCACCGTAGCCACCCAAGCGCAGTGGGGAAAAAAAGAATTTCCTTACGTGTCCCGTACGACAGGCGCAAGACAGGTGAACGCTACACGTTTGCATGTCGTACTTTTCTCATTTTTTTTTTTTTTTTTTTGAGAATTCGTTGACCGCACGCATGTTGAAAAATCTCTACGTGCTGTCTGCGGCCTTCAAAAGTTGCACAATGGACGTGCTTCTCAAGAAATCCAACGTTTTCCCCAATTTTTGGGCCGTAGACCAGGCGTAGAAGCCCTTACGTTGGGTTGGGACCCAGGCTTTAAAATTAAAAAAAAATTGTACGGACAATTTCATCGCACGGCGCCTGTGTAAATGTAATCTAGGCTTTACTTGGAAAAGAGCAGAAATAACTTCTTTAACTTTGACAGTTACGGCATGGTAACGTGACAATATGCCATTTTATATCATGGCTAACTTCAACCTTCCAGCAGACTCGCAGTTTTCAAATGGTTTGGGTCTGTGAACAGAGCGGACAATGAACTCCGTAAATAAACCACCTTTCAGGTTTCGGCGCTCAGCTGCCGGTACTGTACGCGACAACATCACAAGCTTTTATGTCTGTAAAGTCAAGGCGTTAGATATGTAATTTCTTGGTAAAAGGAAGCGGGTTATGGACATGGGGACAAATAGAACGATGTGTTCCTAGGACAGACAACACTGGGAGTCTTTATTAACGCCCTTGTGTGCTACGATGCACGAAGAGGATTAATTAAGTAAGTAAACACTTCATAAAATCCCGGTTTTATTGGTGGGGAAAACATCAAAAAAGTCTTGAAGATAACAGTTATGAGGATGATTTCTTTGGGGGAAGGGGGATGAATGATTTTGAACCTCTTCCTCAGATTTTACCTTTGTCTTTTTTTCATTAGTTTCCTCGTGACCCTCCTTTACGCTTACATAAAAGCAATACACGCGATGCGAACGGCGGTCCTATGTCAACTCTAGGCATTTACACGAATTCTCTGTATTATCATTTCTGTGGTATTTTGAGGTCAGACTCCAGTGGTTCACAGGTGTACGTTATTCTATTGTAAATAAAACCAATATATCTACGCATATTGGGTACTGTCATCCTGGCAACTCTACTGGGTGAAATATGGAGCAAGTGAACAAGTGTCAGGAAGTATGATCCAAATATTTCAAGTTGCAGGCAAATAAATCCCCAGGCTACGTATAATATATTTATATATATGAAATCTGAATATAGGGCCTGGCGCGTATTCTATAGCTGGTACCTGTACCTGCGACTCCTCNGAGAGGGTTTGAGGTAGACACGTGACAGATATACACACACTGGACAATAGAAGTCTATCCCCTGAATGAGAGTAATCAAAGTTATAAACCTGAAGAGGCGGAATATAAGCAATGTCAGAATATCGATACAGTTGAATTGTTCAGTCAGAACCGTTCCTTCTGTGAAATTTGATGTTAATAAAATGATACCAGGAGCATATCATTCCACGTGACACGAACAATCTAATATCAAATGATATTTGACAGCCTAAAATTATACCAACGAGCTCTACCTCTCTCTATATATTGGAATAATTTATGTTTGGATTCAGATTAATAAATCGCACGCGCGCACACACAAATGCACAATGATTGATGAAAGTATATTTCATCATGTGATTGTGATGGCAAAAAAACACGTGTTTGTCGTGGTCACAGGTCGAAAATTTAAACTAATGCGCACGTGCTGGCCTTAGGCCTACACATCGTTTGGGATATCTGACAATATTAGCAATTAGTGCTTTATTAAAAAGATAATGCTTCTCGCTAATCTATGACAGTTAAATTCAAGCGCATTGCTGCGACATAAATCTGTCATTTCACATGTATTGACGGTCAGAGTTCAAAATTTTTATCCCGTGCCCTATCTCGTTATGTAATATCAGCCCCGTGACACGAAGAATCTAATATTAGTGCAGCGATTTCATAGGTGCATTGAAAGGGGGAGGTTTTGACAGTCTGGTATCAGGGAGTCCCAAAGTGTTATTTATTAAAACTCCGCGGCGTTGGTGACACTAAGAACGCTGTCATTCGAGTGGACAGTGCCAACAGCGCTATCAAACGCTGTCGCAGGAAACTATAGTCATTACACACAGGTAAATTTTATTTTCTTCCAATCTGTAATTAACATGATACAATATCATTAGATCAATTCCTGGTTTTATCTATATAAACATTGCCAGTATGCTTATACAGTATTATGCTCCTAATGACAAATATTAACAAGGTGAATTTTTATTTTGTAGTTATTATTACGGTTATAATTAAAATGACAGGAGTCATGCTTCCCATTGACTCAGAAATATGAATAATTAAGAATTTGGTATTGGTCCACAATGGCTGTGGACTTGATAACCATTGGGAAAATGAAATGTCACGTCGAAAGACAATATGCTCGAGTTTTACTTTTATAAAATTTTGTATTAAACGGTGCGGATTTGATTAAATACGTGTACCAAATCAAATTTTGGTTTTAACTTCAGCAATTTGTATTGTCTGTATAAAAAGGTAATATCAAATGAGTTACTGTCACGTCAGACGTTTACAAACTCCGCAAAACCCCAAATGTCTCCTCCCCACATCCCAAACAGGTATTAAATCATAATTTTTCTAACCGCTGGCAATATCCATACCATGTTCGTCGTTACTTATATTCAACTCGTCCTACATGTAGGCTTGAAACAAGGAACGTAAATTATGAACTTCTAAGGTGTGAAATGCAATCTGAAGATATTTACACGTGCTAAATTCCAATATGTAAATATTATTATTTATGCACTGAAACAAATACCCTAAGATTTCCACTTCCAATGATTGAATTCATAATAAGAAGATTTAAAAACATTATTTACAAATTATTTTCCAATACTGCTATACATACGGAGGAGGCACGCACTAAGTCTGACACTGATGAAAGATAATTGCACAAATTCATAAGAAGTTCTGGAAATGGCAATTAGATACCGTACTGTAAAAAATAATTAAAGTGAAGTTTATGATGGGTTCCAAGGAGAGAATATTCAAAGTGAGACCAACGTTTTTTGTTATTGCAGGCCCGTAGCCAGCAATTTCAAAAGGGGGGTTCTTTTTCTGAAAAAGTGGACCTTTTTCCATAAAAACCTCATGATTCTAGATCAAAGTTTACTCAGAGTGGACCTTTTCCCACCAAAAGGGGCGGTTCTTTCGAACCCCCGAACCCCCCCTGGCCACGGGCCTGTACTGTATAAATCCTTCCACTCTTGTCTCTCACTGTTCCATTATTTCTTCAACCGAAAGGCGACACTCTACTAGGCATTTATAAACGCTGAATGAAAAAGAAAATGCTTACCAGAAATAATTGAGCAGTAACACGCAAAAACTTGACCTGATTACCTTTATGGGCCAATGACTTGGAAAAGAATGCTCTGCCTCGTGCCCAAGCCTCTTTCCATGTGAAAATTTTCATAGGCCTACTAAATGACAATTCAAAGGAAAATAATAATGTACAAAGTAAACATGAAATTGTCTTTTGGGCCTTCAAGTTTTACTGTAGAGAATCACTAAGAATATACACGGCACTCTTGCTTGAATATAAAACTTTCTCAAGTGGAGCCAGTGTAACGTGACAGAGAGTCCCCCATGACAGGGAGTCCGCTTCCCATTCATTTGCACAGGTAAGCCTCGCCCTAGATTTTGACCCACTTGGGTCAGGCTAACCCTAACCATTATAACTATATGGAGGGCGGACTCTCTGTTACACGGACCCTAAGTTTTCTTACACCGGGACCAGTGTTGCCGATTTTGTGGTAAAGTGGGGAGAAATTCACATTTGAGATACAAAAGATACAAGAAATCACATAATTACACCTTACATTATATTATTGCAGAAATCCACAGCCATGGGCTTTGTAGGAAATATCCACCCATCCCTGGAAACATTGGATTATACCTCAACGAGAGTACAGCTTGAAATCATCGGTCTCTCTTTTCTCTTCTTTCTCGGAATCTACATCCTTTCGGCATCTCTTGCAGCCCTAACCTGGACCTACCGCAACCTGCGTCTCAAAGAGAAGATATTTTGGAATCTTTCGGTGGTGAGGGCGGTGTTCGGCGTATACGCCGTGTGTTCTGGCGCCTGGGCGTTATGGTGGGACACAGAAATGATTAAAGATGTCGTACACGCCACGACGCCTACCTCCTGGTTCACGAACATCGTCTCCATTGGGTTCTTTCTCTTTGAGTGCTCAGCCATCTTGTTTTGCGATCTCTATTTCCGACAGGGCAACATGCTACTGAACCTCCACCACATGTTGGCTCTGACGGGCTGTGTCATGGTGTTGAGGTACAGGAGCATCCATTACTTCTGGGCGATAGGAGTTGCTCTGGAGATGTCGACGCCATTTTCAGCCCTCTGTTGGATTCTACTCAAATGCGGAAGGGCCAATACGTTCTTGTGGAAGGCTAACCAGTATGTTCTAGTTCACGTCTTCCACTGCAGGTCGATTTTGGAGACTTTCCTTTGGATTCAGTCATTCCGTCACTGGGAAAACATATGGGCTCACTTGCCGTGGCCGGTGTTTGTGATGTTTTTCTCCGAATTGGCCTTGGTGACGTTCGTTATGACGCCATATTGGACTTACAAGAAAACAGAACAGTTGATTATTCCCAGAGACTGGAATTTTGAGGATTCTGAAGACAACAAGCGAACTAATGGCAGTTTAAAAAAAGAAGACTGAAAAATATGAACACATTATAAGGGAGCAAAACCTTTTCTAGTGCCATATTTGGATTTTTAAAATACGAACAACACGCGGGGTGTTTGTCTGTCTTTACTTTGAAAGGTAGACACGTGCAATTTGTTAAATGTAATTAGATTATATTTGGCAATATTGCAATTATAATTTTAGTTGAAATTAAAATTTCAATTCTTCCTACCTATTGGCGGAACTAGATGGGCCTAATATTGCTAACATTACAAAAAGGTAGTGACAGACTCAGAGGCCCTCAAAATTGCGTTTTATGTACTTAAATTATTTTTGGAGCTGTAGGTGTGTGTGTGTGTGGGGGGGGGGGGGGGGTAAGATGAAGACTAAACCTCAACCCACCCCTATCTTTCTTTCTATATCGCAATCGCCAAGCACCCACAATGGCAAGATGGCGTTAGAGTGATTCGGAGCTGTTTGGGTAATACGGTGTGCTCTGTGTTTTCTATTGCAAACGAGTGCTTTGGTTTAATTTCCAAGCAATATTCAAATCATAAATACTACATTGTATGCTGGAGGAAATTGATTTAAGTATTATTTCATTGTGGTTCCAGAAAACGTGCGATATTTTGATTGATTAAGGTAAAAGTTACATTTGCTCAAATTATTGAAAGAGTAAAAACATTGTACGTCAATTCTCTGTTTTAATGATGCAAGACGGAATCTTTAAATTGGCTTAAAAAAGCAAGTCTCTGTACATTTCTGATATTTATAATGATGGTGCAAAACATCGAAAAAAACTTTGTTAAGTTGAATAAAATTATTCTAATCTGTTAAAATTTAGATGATTGTGTCCTGCGTAAACAGTTATAGAAATAGAAATCTGTGCGTGTACATGCAGGGGCGGATC